AAAACTTGGACTGGACAAGGTCGGTTAGTACCAGCTAGCACATATATAGCTTGTAGGTATAAAAGATAGGAGGTTTAAAAGGGAAAGGGCCCTTTTTAGTCCTAGCCCATTTGTAAACGAAACGTAAAACAGTTTCGAAATGAGTTTGTTTTGATTATAAAATGACCCTTAATTGGTTAATAAATGATCCTAAATAAATTCCCTTATGAAATTTGTTGAAACTTGTTGTTGACCATTTAAGGGGCGGCGTTTGGACAAGGCTTCGACCTTAACTTTGACAAAACTTAACAGACTTTCACGTTTAATTGAATGTTGACCCTTGTTTGTACCTAAATCGATTCTGCATCTAAAATGTATTATTATTAGCTGAAATTAAATGCTTTTATGCCCCGCTTTTAACCAATTTAATTGCTTGTGAATTCGTGAGCTGTCCTCAATCCATTTTAAGTGTTTGGTATTTTAATAGCATATTAAATTATAAAGAATCAGTTTGCAAACATAAACTTCATTAAATGCAAGGAAACGCTTTCGAAGTAATGAACCTTTTATTAAATTATATGCAAATATATTTTTATTCATGGCGAAATATTTATTAATTTGTTAAATGCGTATTTTATGGAATACATAATAAATGGACGTATCTGCCGTCAAGTATTCATTTATCAGGAACTTTTGGCAGGCTATAAATCATGGCCTCTCAACACATTTATTATACAAATTCGTTTTGCCTGTAATATAATAACAATTCTGAACGAAATTTTCCATTATTTAAATCAATAAAATTTGCAGCGCTGAGCACCTCCGCGGGATTTAAAAAAAAACGGCTGAAGCGCCAATTTTAATCAGTTTACTTGGCAAAATGGCAGTGAAAATGCAATTAGTTTGCTCAATTGTGGTCTGTTTTCGTGAAAGATGTTGGTATTCCATCAGCCTGACGGGTTGTCATGAGCCATTCGATGCTGTCACATACATCTGACAAATGTGTGCTGGGCATAATCGCATACGGGGCGTATCCTGGTTTTTATTTGTATACCCTGTATACATTAAGTGTACTTAAAGGGGTTAACTATTGCCAAAGCGTTAATCGTAAGTGTTTACTGTAACACCGGCAAGATTCACAGTTTGAACCTGAAGATCTCTAGGTCGGTATAGGTATAGATACAGTTGCTTATGCATATATACTAATTTACGTACATTTTATTTATTTCTCTAATAAAGAAAGCTGTATGAACTAAGGCTTATAGAAATTACGTTCTCTATATATAAAACTGTTTGTCCTGACTGACTGACTGATTGGTGATTAACGCACATCCCAAACCCTAAGAGCTAGGAAGCTGAAATTTTCCCAGTAGTTACCTTATCTGATGAAGGTGCACGTTAACCAGAGGATTTGGGGAAATTCCACCCGCATGTCTGAAAAAATCGCGGAAAAATGAACTGTGAACCGAATATTTTTCGGGAAAAGAAAAGATTCCCATTACAAAACCGAACCGCGTAGCTGACAGGGTATTTCCCAGTCGGGCACAGTTGACGTTGAAGAACAACTTAATCGTGTTGCTTTTATTTTTTAAGCTTTTGGCTGGGCTAGGATATCAGAACCCTAATCTGGCAAGCAAGGCGAAACCGACCCCGCTGCTCACCCGCAAAACCCCTTTCGCTCGCGCTGCTGAGGTACTGTCAACAGCTTTGTAATTAGTTGCCTTTTTTGTACTCCATGGTCACCATCGCTCTTCGGGGTTTCCCGCTGTCGCTGTTGCTGTCGCTGCCTCAGTCGCTGCCTCAGTCGCAGTCGCAGTCGCTGCTAATGTCAGCGCGAGATTGATGGAGATTCATTTTTTAGTCCGCTGTCGCTGCTGCCATGCGAGATGGACAAATGCTGACCATCATTTTCAGCTGACTCGCAGCCGGAGTCACATTGCGTATACATAAGCTTTAATTAGCCAAGTACCGTTAGCTCGGCGAAAATGTGAAAATGTGAAAATGCTGAATGCGAATATTAGATCGCATCGTGCCGAGAGCGAAGCGTATCGCAAATTCAAATATTGTCAGGCGAGAGAAATTGTGAAATTGAATTGCATTCTATTTGCAAATTTGCATAGCGGCTAAAGCCTCACTTGTCGCTACCCGCTCCCCGCTACCCGCTCCCTGCAGCCCGCTGCTCTCAGCTTGGTTCGCATACGCCCCGTGGGCCACATAAGCGATGCGATTGTAATAATATTGACTAAACTTTCAATTGAAATGCATATTGAAATAAATATAAGTGTTCCTTTATTGTATATTTAATATATTCAAGCGGCCAGCAGCTGCCATACTAAAAAAGAAAAGTTGTCCAGAAAAAAATAAAAAGGAAATTACCATATTTTCACACACTTTGACAGACACAACACATACAAAGTGTAACAATGAAATTTGAAATTTGTCACAACACCTGATAGACTATAAAGAACCCAGTGTTTGCCCAATAGATTAATAGGTATATAGATAATAGATAGATAGATCTTATAGATAACATAGCACAAATAAATATAATATGGAACTAAATCTTTAGTTTACTTCAAGCAAGTATAAAAAGTATAATTTTGTTTACTTTCCGTATTGTTTTTTCTGCTATTTAAATTGATATTCATTTATTTTATTTTTATTTTTCTTTCTTTATTATTTTATAGCAATTTTGATATTTAACTAATCGAACCTTAACCTCAGCTTACTTTTTACAAATCCATATGAAATGTTATTTATTTTTTCTATATTTCTACAATGATGCAGCCCATTTTAGCGGATTTATAATAAAATACAAGCAAGGGACAACAAGAGAAACTTGATAGCTCAAAACACCCCAACTGCCTGTCAATTACAGGGTACTGACCAGCAAAGCGTTGACAAAACCCCAAAAGAGGTAAAAATTTAACAGAATTGCAAATGCTGTTGACACTTGCACAACGCAAACAATTGTCCGCAATCTGCTGCTCTCTCACCTCGCTGCAGCCTGCTCACTCACTCAGTTTCGCTCCCTCTCTCTCTTTGTCTCTCCTTCTCCTTCTTTCTCTCACTCTTCCTGCTACGCTGTGTGCAACTGCAATTTCGGCTTGGCTTTGGGTTTGTATTTGAAAACTGGCTGTGAAGCATTGGGTAGCGTTTTTGGCAATTTTCGTGTTTGCATAGTTTTTGGCAACACTTGATTGCCTTTTGGCTTTGGCCGGAATGTAGTCAACCTGGCCAACAATCCGGCAATAGCCGTTCGCACAGTTTTTGGCTAAAATTTGTAGTTTGTGTTTTTTTTTTTGTCGCTTTTCGTAATCAAAAACTTCACATGCTACAAAAATCGGATATGCAATAAGTTGGGCACGAGTTTGTATCCCAAGAGTTATGACGGCGTGCAGCGTGCAGCCACGCCCACAAATTAGCTGAGCTGAGTCACATGTGTTTGTGTGTGTGGGTGGGTGTGTATTTGTGTAGCACATAAATCATATTTAGCTCTGCGGCGCCAGCGAACATTCAATCAAAGTGCAACAAATCCCTCAAATTTGTTATGCGTCACGTACAAGTGTCAAGTCGCAGATGTGTGCGTGCGTGCGAGTGTGTGTGTGCGTGTGTGCCATCAGTATAGGACTTTAAAGTCGAGCGAGCCTAAAAGTTAATTTATATATAAATAGATATATACTTATGTGGATATATAGATACATAGGCACACATTTTAATATTATATAATGCGGGGTGCGGTTTGACTTGGGGCTTGTTTATGCTTATAGAAGTAATCGTTAGAGCAATCGTTATCGGAATTGAAATCGAAAGCGTTGCGTGCTCCAACACATTTGCTAGGTTATCAACTTTACACTCAACTGAATATATTTGGAGGCATTCAGCATTTCGGCGTTTCTTTATGCCTGCCACGGCTTATTAAATATTAAATTGATAAGGCAGCAGTGCCCGAGCAAGAAGTGTGCGACAGTTTTTTGTTCCTTTCATTTTCTTCTGTTTATTTTTTTTTGTGGGGTATTGGCATCTATAAGTAGCATTTGTAGCCTATTTTTCTTGTTCTTGCCGTTTTGTGTTTTTGCCTAAGCGGCTTTTGCTCGCATTTCACAGTGGAGCACGTGCCCCGCCCACAATCTCACCACCTCACTCCCCACTCCCGCTCCCAGCTGATACAATGCTGTATGTATGCTAATATTGCGGGCATATTTTTCATGTCGCAATCATTTTGTGTGCCATTTTATTTTTTGTTTTTTACTTTATTTTATACTTTTCATTGCTGTTGTAGTTGTTGTTGCTTTTGTTGTTGCTGGCATTGCTTACGCGTTGATTGCAAGCATTTGCATAATTTAAGATTGTTCTGTTCACTGACACTCGACACGCACACACTGACACACACGCACACACTGACACACCCACACACACAGAGAAGAAATTTCAGCATCCCGTGTGTTCCACTCTGGCGGCATTAAAATGAAAATTCCAAGCTCAGTCGGCGCTCGTTCAAGATTAACATATTTCTTTGAAGCTCTGCTAAATTATTAAGGTTATAAATAGCAGTGTTGGTAGCCGGCATTGTATTTAACGAAGCACCTATTAACTGAGTGTAATGGTTGTATTAAGATATCTCAAGTGGTAAAAAATATTGTTGGTCAACAGCTGAGACGACTCGAACATGATTTTTAGATTAAATAGCAGTTGGAGAGATATTATTTCTTACGTGCATTGGTATTCCTTTATAAACATGTCGCCTTTCTCTGCAATTCTCATGGTCGCAAAAAAGGTTGTTTCTCGCCCTGTTACCTTCTGTGGTTTTCTCTCTCTCTTTTTCTCTCTATCCACCTTTATTTGCTATTTACCTACTCTTCTTCTTGCTCTAAGGTATATTCTACAGGGTATATTCTCTTTGATCACTTCCAGCTCACCTACACGCTCCCATTTATTGTAGTTTTTGTGCTTAAGTTTCGTTTTTGCTTTTACAAATATTGAAAAAAGTTTCTCATTTCCATTTCAATTTCTCATTGCAGTTCAGCAACCGGAGGAGTCTCAGAGACAGAAACGACGAGGACGACTACGATACGACACGGCAGGTAGTAGAAGTAGTAGGAGGCGGCGGTAAGCATCCGGTGCTGTGGGTATGTCCACAGCCAAAAGACTGGTGCTCTCGCTACGTGGACGCAAGAATTCGCAGGGCAATTCGGCCACATCGTCGACGCGGCTCGTATCCGCTGGCACCTCGCCGGGCCATGAGCTGGACGAAATAGCCGTTGTCTCCGGCACCGGTTCGACTAGCCATCATTTCTCCTATGGCGGCTGCATTGGCAATAACAACGACGCCAGCAGCGCCGCCGTGGCTGTGGCCCGTTATTCAACAGGTAGGCATTGCACAAATAAAAAATATAATTGAAAAATACGTTCACACTCAAAACCCCATCACCATCACCATACCTGCAGCTCCTACCCATAACAATCAAATGTTTAAGTACTTTTTGTAGTCAATTTCCACCTCAATGCACATGCAGCAAAACCACCAAACCACTAGACCAATCAAACCCACCATCGGCAAACTGAACTTGTAAACTCGCCACCACCACCACCCCTCACACCTGTAACCCCTCTGCATGCTGTCGCATTTATTGTGTAGACCGTATTGCTACATCTTTGACAGTTATATATATATATATATATCTAAATATAAAACTGTGTGTCCTGATTTACTGATTGCTGATCAACGGAGAATACCTACCTGTACAGCTTGTACCAATAATCACTAAGCTATCAAGTAAAAATTAGGCTACGTTCTTATCTATAACTTTAGATTTATATGGGAAATGAAATGAAAATCATATTGAGTTCGATCATTTCCAAGCTGTTATCAAAGTTAATAATTTAACCAGAATTGTTATCCTTTACATTTAGAATTCAAGATAGAAAGGGAAAGTTTTACAGACGGGAGAAAAAAGCTGAATACAATTTGAAGAAAAATCCCTGACAAAAAAAGCTTGCAAGCATATTGTAAACTTAATCTGCCTAGGATGCGATTACAGGATATATATAGATATTTCTTTTGAAATTGACTTATTTTTGTCTAGCTAAATTAAAATGAATTTTTAGTTTTAACATTAATTTTGGCGATGCTGCCTGTATAACTTCTCGTTAAGACAAGTCTATAAATAGCTGAGTGTACTTTTGAGTTTTGCGAGTGAGGATTTCATGGAATATATGTCATTAATGTGGCATTTATATAAGTAGCTGTTTGTTTGTTTAAGTGCCTCTGCATCTCTTTGCAGTAGACTCTTGTGTCGTTGGCTTTGTCTTTGTCTTTGTCTGTCCCTGCGACTGCAGCGTTTTCTCTCAATGACCCTTTTTCCGTAGCATTTAAATTTTATATGCCCTGGCTTTAGGGACGAGCGAGAATTGCCTTCGACAGTTGCAAACAACTTTTGCCATTGATTGGCATTTCGATAATGTCAGCAAAAATAGACAAAGCCAGCGCCAAAGCGAAACTGCAGTCAAAGGTGCGCCAAACGATGCCATTTCGCATTTGCATATTTAATGCAGTTGAATGACTTTCAAATGGCACAACTTTAATGCCATCATCAGATCCAACGGCTCCCCACAGTTCGCTCAAGTTCGAGCGCATTATGTTATGAAAATCGCTATCCCACCGAAATGGCAACTGTTTAGACAGTCACCTTTCACCTTTTGTTATGTGCCTGAACTCATCAAAAATACCATTCTATTTAGTTTTGCATATTTATGCGTTGCGGCTATCAAAATATATATTGTGTGTAACTTACCTTTATTAAAGGGAAGCATTCGTTGTTTCTTTTAGGGTTATTCTCTTCGCGTCCTTCTGATAGTCCTAACAAGTTTTATAGAAATTGTTTTTCATAACTATACGAACTGAGGATATATACGAAATTTGGTATGAGGTTTTTTTCGATTTTATTCTATGGAATATGGGAAATGTTTTCTTGAGCAGCATCGGTCGTTATAGTCCGATCTTTATGCCATTTATAGCCCATAAGTGTGGTAGAGAAATGTATGTAAATGCCAAATCGCAAAATTTAAATTTTATTATTTTTTTCATTCTTTTTAAAAGGGAAATATTTTAAGTCGAAACAAGAACCTACATCTCCCAATAATATTCGGGATATGCTTATAATTTCTTAAAATCTGTTTTTATTCGGAATGGGGCTCGCTCTGCATATCACAAATGCTATTTATATGCCTCTCAAAGAGCAGCATTTTTTCGGTCTACTTCCCACAACTAAATAATAGATAGGTTTATAGTAAAGAGCACCTGTTATTTGAGCACGCACCTATCTAAAGCTGCTGCCCCGGATGATATGCTTAGACTGCTCTGATTTGACAAAGCGCCTTAGTTTGGGTCCAACTTACGGGCAACCTGTATTTGGAAGGCCTGTCTGTCACAATTGAGCCACAAGTCAGTTTGTCCCAAAAATCTGGCGCTTTGTGTCTTTTGTATGGCAAGGAAAAATAAATCAATCAAATGACAAATATGCTTAGACAATTGCCAGGCCAGGCGCTGTTCAGCCTACAGCTTGTGTCCTAATTTCATTGCCAGGCTGCAGCAGTAAACTTGACGCTGCGGTCTCGCACACACAAAGCACACACACACAACACACACACACACAACACACACACACAGATAGAGAAGCAGGCGTTGTCTTAGCAAAGCCACAATCGTAATTTGTTGTTGTGCTGCTTCCTTTTGCGGTTGCTGCTTGTCACATTTTATAGGCTGCATATGTTGCGACCATTTTTCTTCTGCCAGCTGTTGTAGTTGTTGTTGATTGCGTTGTGGCACGTTCACTTTGGCTTACAGTTAATTTTGAGCGAAATTCAATTTATCACTGTGCGGCCCATAAATCCAAATTTCGTTGCCACTTTTACTGCTCTAACGAGTCGAAAGCATCCGAGAAACCTGGTCTACGACTGGACAACAGAGATTTATGCGAATGATTCTGTTGTTGGTCCATATGTTTCAGCATCAGCTGAAAACGCCTGCAATTTGCACGCTAGCAACAACAGCAGCAAAAGCAATAACAACAATAAGAACAACAACAATTACAACAACAACAGCAACAGCAGCAGCAGCAAGAGCTTCACTAAATGAGGGTCAACGTGACGTATGCGCTATGTGTTAAGGACTGCAGCTGCACTGCATAATACTATATGCAAGTGCATATATGTGCTTGTATGTATGTGAGTGTATGTATATGGTATATGTGTGTGTATGCGTGTGCAGCAAAGTTTTTCAGGCACTGCTATTGACATTTATCGCTTGGTGGCTTGGATTTAATGACTGTTAAGTTGTTTATGTCCAAATGAACGCTTTAACGCTCACACACATGCACACACATAAATGCACACATAAACAGTCTGACACATTGAGTGTAAGCGAAAATGCCAGACTGCAAGCTATCCTGCATAGGGAACTACTTTGGAAAGCTCAGTGACTAAATCAAAATTGAACAATTAAAGATATAAACCTTTATTATGGGTCAAGTTACACAGAAATCCATTTAAGTACTGACTGCCAGCTAGTTTAAAGATACATCTGCCGACTTTCAATAGGGCGTGCTCACAAAAAATCTATCAATAGACTTTAACAAAAATCGTTCTATCTTTGTGATTAAACCTAATGAAGGCGTTGCTTAGTTGCCTTCTGCCTAATACTTATAGGGTATCTTTTGCCGTCAGCAGCACAGACCCAGTTCCAGCCACAACCACAACAACAGCCAAAGCCAGTAGCCAAAAATAAAACGAAACTTTTCAACTTTTGGCATATTCCTTTTTTTGTTTTGCCAATGAAGTTGACAATTTTTAGGATGTACGTACGTTGCTCTTTTAGGACTATAAAGCCCTCTCTCTCTGTGTGCGCGTATCTGTGTGTGTGTGTCTATGTGTGTGTGTGTGTCGTTGACAATAGCAATTTGGCCGTGGCTTTGATCAAAGTTCTTTTTTTTTCCTTCCATGGTATCGCTAAATTGAATTTGACTTTGACAAAGAGACGACAGCGACCAGGAACTCTGAGCATTTTTTAAAAACTGAACGTGGAATATAGGCGCTTCTCGATGAATAATATAAATAACCAAGTTCTGTTTTTGGAGTGATTTTATTAATAACTGAAGGCAACCAACGTTGCGAACGTTTAGAAACGACGAGTCGCGGCTTTGATACCCTAACTGCGACGAATAAGTTATATGTTGTCGAGTATATCCAATGCAAATCGATAAAATAGCTGAGAGCTGATTGAATTTATTAGTTTAGTTATGAGCATATCATTTACGAAAAGAGGTTAATAAATTGTGCAAACAAGTAAATCATAAGTGAGAAATTGAAAAAAGATTAACGAGATTGTGTGCGTATTGGGCATATTTTATTCTGCATGAGACACAGAAATATGCGTATGCAATGAATTTAGTTAGATTTTATCTAAGAATATATATATCAAAAGTTTTCCCTACTTCATTTAATTACAAGCGAACATATTTTTGTGATTTATTTATTCCAAGTGTGTTTAAACTTAAAAACTTCAATTTATATGAATATAAATCTGAAATATTCAAGAAATGTTCATTTAGAGCTGAGTCAATATAATGAGTATATGTACATATTAAATAATCTATACATTTTGCCATAAATAAGACTTTAGACGTATTCCCTGGCCTTTATGCGTTACCTCTGCGCTCACATAATAGAAATTAAATACTCACTGTGGGGCATAAAAGTGCGCATAAATTCATATTGTAGCCGCTAAAAATAATATTTTTTGTTGCCTACTTATTTGGGTTGCGTCCTGCAGCAGCGCCAATCAATCGCAACGGCTAAATATATGGGTATCTATCAGATACAAATATCTTTAGTCCCTTTCAAGCGCATTTGAAGCTTAGCTCAAGTTGTGGATGATGGAGCCATCAAGAATAGCCAAGTGTATGCCTTTGTCTATTCCACACACTTTCTCTGTCTCTCCTTTTCTCTTTCTCTTGCCATCTCCCTCTGTCTGCCTCTGACTGTGCGCTCTGTTCATGCCATAATTGAGCTTAGAGGTCTTATGGCAGCTGCATCATTGATTTGGCCGCTCTCTGCCACCGTAGCGCCCGCTATCAGGCTTCAAGCTCGGACAAAGTTTCGTGTAAAGTTTTTTGTTGTTTTTGTTGTTGTTGCTGCCGCTCTTGTTGTTGTTGTTGTTGTTGTTATTGCACGCTCGTTGCGCTTGTTGTTGTCAGCTTTAGCGCCGAACTTCAACAACAGATATAGCTGCTGCGAAAAGTTTTTCCATCTCGTTTTAAAGGTGATGTACCGCCCCACGACCCCCCTGTCACCCATCCCACCTAGACTGTCG